TCTGTTTCACCACCTTTCAAAAAAATGTAGAGGGGTATACAACACACACAAAACCCCCCCCCGACATGTTGGGGTTGGGGGGAATGTGGGGGAGTTGAAGTCCCACTCGTCTTAAAGGTGCCAAGGTTGAGAAACACTGATCTAGAATCTAGAAAATCCTCCCTGCCTGGCCTCTACTTTGTGGACTTTTTGGTGCCCGTTGAAGATCTTTCTACTCTTCCTAGGCTTGTAGGGCTTTTTAGCTACAGGGCAGTGATTTTTAAAAAAACTTTATCTCTACTATCTAGTGGCTGCTCTAATAGTTTTAATTGATTGTGACCACTGTTTCATTTTTTAAAAAATGGTTTGAAAGTTGGCCTACGAACACATTTTTATAAGGTAGTATATAGATTTGTAAATAAATAAATACAGGTAGTCCTCATTTAGCAACCACAATTGGGACCAGCAACTTGGTTGTTAAGTGAAGCGGTTGCTAAGTGGAATTGCACCTGTGCTTATGATCTGATTTCAGCTTTCCCTTGCTTTACAGACCTGCGAAGGTTGTAAATCCAAGGATTGGTCATAAAGTTACTTTTGCATCACTGTTGTAACTGCAAACAGTCACTAAATGAGGCAGTCGTTAAACAAGGACTACCTGTACTTTGTTTTCTCCAGGTAGACTTTGTTTGGATCAATCGAGACCAAAAATCCTTTGAGTGGTTTGTCAGCCTGCTTACCCAACTGGAAGTCATGCAAGCCAGTGAAGAACCAGAGGGTAGGTACCTGGTTCCTCCTGATCTTCATTCAACCCTATCTCAAACTGAGTATTTTGTATTTCTAAACCAGATTGTCTTCTCCAGACTGGACAAAATTGGGGTAGTGATATTGATTGGAAGTTTTGACAAAATCCACCCAGAAACAGTTTTATTCTGTTTTCTCTTGCCGTGAGATGATGATGATGAATGATGAATTCTGAGCAGGCTCAATGGGTGGAATATCCTCCCCGCCCCTTTAACCAAGCCTTCCCTTTTTGAACTTTACCAGGAATATCAAACGAGGGGGGTGAGAGACTGATGACCAACCTATGCAGACACCCCTCCTCTCCATGTAGTCATTCTTGTCATCCTTGATTTCAGCAAAGATGCTTTTCCATGCATGTGCACACCGCCCCCCCGAGCTTTTCCACACAAATGGAGATCTTGCCCCAATCAAGTCTGCCCATTAGATAAAGAAGTTCTATACACAGTCTTGCTGATACATGTTCTCATGAATGTTGACAGCAGAGGTACTAGAAAGGGGGGGGGGCATGATATAGTCCACTAAATCCACCTGGGTTCTCCAATTCCTAGCCCGATTCCTGGAGATGCATTTGTACATGACCTCAGCACTTAACAAGAGTGACATGAAGGCTGTTGGCCTGCAAATGGCCTTAGATCTGCTTGCAAAAAAGGAGAAGAAAGACTCAATTACAGGCCTCAGGACAAGAACAAAGCCTGGGCGGCCAGACTGGAAACAGGTAGGTTTTTCCTCTAAACCACACCTAAAAACATGTATTCTCAACATATGTTTGCTTATAGTACGGCCATGGTGAGGGGATTCGTTTCCTAGTTCAGTCCAGATTCCAAGCTAGTATCTCACATGTTACAGAAATTCTTTCCTGCAGTTGGCTTATGGACAGAGACCACTCCCTGGATGCTTGGACAAAACTTTTAATGACAAGCAGTGCTGGGGCAAGACAAATACAGTCTTCCCAACCAATATAGCAACCGCAAGCATCTTTTATATCCTTGAGAAGCAGTAAGAAAAAGTGGTATAACAATCAGCAAGATAGTGAGACTTGCACATCTGGCCCCAGCTCCTCCCTAGCTGTTTCCTCCCATGCCATTTGTTACCCACGGTCCAAGGACAGGGACAGGTCAGTCCTAGTTTCAGATGGTGTTGCGTAGGCTAACTGGATTTTTGTCTCCTCCCCACACAAGATGCTATGAGAAGGAGGAGCGACGCTGGAATCCTGGGCTGCTGGGGAGCTAAAAGTCTATCCTGAATCTTAGCAGATTCCTAGCTTGCTCCTGACTTAGCCAACCTCTTAAAATGTATCAGACCCTTTTGTGTACAACATCAGGTGGCATCTTTAAATTCTTCTTCCTTTGCTGTTGCCGAGTGGAAGGCTATCCTTTTGGGGCAGTGGCCACATTTGGAGCATGACAACATATTGTGGACATTCCCTCAAAATGATTGCCATGGTAGGCAATCGTAGCCAGTCACAAAACATTGTTCAAAATGGCTGCCGTACATAGGCTGCAAAACAATCACAACAGGGCATCACAGAGTTTCTGTATCCCTTTGCTGCCATCTAGTGGCTATCTGGAGTTGTGCAGCTCAGCTATAGATGGCTGACAGCCTCATCTGGCAAGTCACCTCCAGGCTCTCTGAGGGCCTCTTTTCCTTGTATGAAATCTCTGACACATGTTTTTGAACAATACAGAGGTTAGGTCATCTCAGGAAAGGACGAGTGTAGGCCAAGAACATTTCTCATCTGTAATTAACCATTCTTATGGATCTTTATTATTTTACCATACATTCAGTTCATAAAGACTATGGAAGGTTTTTAACATCCACATATGACTGCTAGATAAGGCCACGGAGAATGGAACTGAACGTTCTCAGTGGAAGCCATTCTGCTCTGCTCTCGTGCATCAGCTCAGCTGAGTCAGAGCTTGGAACGAGGATCAACAAACTCAAGCTCTGTCCTGGCAAGGTGGAATAATGGCTGGTAGAAGGTTTAATCAGAAAAGTGTTTCAGATGGAGTTGCTTTCCCAAGACATACCAGTTCCAGATCAGATACACACACACAGGCTTAGAGGTCAATTAGAACGCTGTAGAGCAATGTGACGATTGCTATCAAAACTAAGGCAGAAAGAGACAATGCATTTCAGTTGCTGATAACGTCTTCTCTCTTTCCCAGCTCTTTCAGAAAATTTATAAAGAAGACAAAGGAAAAGTCCAGATCTTCTTTTGTGGCTCTCCCGCCCTTGCCAAGGTGGTCAAAGCTCACTGTGAGCAGTTCAGCTTCCCCTTCTTCAAGGAACACTTCTAGCTGCAAGACGTTGGATCTTTTTCCCCTCTGTCGACATGGCCGTGATTGGTTTGGTTTTAATGAACTCAAGAATGCTATTGTCTTTTTAAAAGCACTAGGAAACACGTGTCCCTTGTTATTATTTTTATGAAGATATGTACAAGATTTTCCATGGAGCTGGTGGGAATCTCTGCTTGCTTGCTTATTTAATACAAGCCTCCTTTTGTGAACCAAGTCCACCCAAGGCAGCAAGTAAAGCACAGATAAAAATAAAAGTGGAATAGTAGTAACAAAAACCTTAAAGCGTGATCAACAATCGGCAATGCATCAAAATAATGAAGACTGCATAAAATCTTCCCTGAGGTCCTTTCTCCACTAGCTCTTAACCATAAACACTCCCTGGAAATTGTTTCCCTTGTGTCACCATGATGCGGCTTTCCTCTCATTCCAGGGCCATCAGGGAGGGAAGTTTAGGATGCTGTTAGCTGTACCAGCATTAGCGTTTCCCCCTTTATTTCAACACCTTCCAAGGGCAGCTTTAAGGTGTGCAAAATCTGCAAGCAATGTCACTAGGGACATGCACTGCTTTAGCAAGAAAGTGACAAAGCCCCAGTTTTATGCACTTTGAGACTGCCCTTGGAAGATGTTGAAACTCAAAGCACTGCATATCCCAATTTATCACCCATTGGCTTGAAGGGAATTCAGGTAACCAGTCCTGGATGTTAAAGAGAGGGGTGCTTGTTGGGTGTTTCTGGCTGACAGGGCCAGAGCCCATTCTCTGCCCCTACCCAGCCTCCCACAGTGCTATTCTGCCGCTGCCTCCCTGGGGACACAGCTGCGGACATGTGGACATGTCCAGGGGGCTCCCAAAATTTGAGCTCTTTCAGTTGGTCCGTTCTTAGGATTCTTCTCTGAGAGAGAAAATATATATTCCACACACACACACTTCCCTCAAAAGGAAAAAACAAAACGAAAATCTGTCTGCCAGGTCCTCTTAGGTATCAGCTTTTGAAGGCAGTTAGGAAAAAAAAATACAGTTCAGCATTTCCACAAACTCTTGAATAGTTTGTATTTAGTCTGGCCAGTTTACGAATTAAGAAAAAGAGTTTGGTTGGAAAAATAATTTTCTATTTAAAGACAAGTTGGGTACTTGTACTATCCATGGGGAGCATGGATAGGTTCGGTTCCTCCTTTCTCAGGCCAAAAGTTTTTTATAGAGGAGGCCTTTCTCTCCCCTCCGCGTCAACGTTTGCATCAGTAAAATACCTGGCTTTCTCCTTGTTCTCAGGGCAGTCGCTTTATCAACAGGATACGTTGGTGGAAAACCGAAGGAAGCCTTGTCTTCCAGGGAAGTCTTGCAAAGTTTCAGGCAGACACCCTCAGCCCCCTCACACAGCTGCAGGGATGTTGCAAGGGCTAAGGACTTAGAGGAAGGACAGGCAGGGAAAGTGACCCTTCCTTTCTCTGCCTTCCACCAGAGCAGAGAAGACTAAGCAGAGGAGAGAAGCTCCTGTGTTCGGCAGACACGTATGGCTGCAGGCGCTTGCTCAGAGGGGTGTCTGGGATTAGGTCCGCTCACAACTCTGCCGATCCTCTGAATGCAGCGTTTGTAGCGGAGAAAATAAACCTAACAAACGAAATGGAGTCTGCACCCTTCTCCCGCACAGCTTTTGGATACGACCAGGGCCAAAGCCAGTTAATCTCTTTGCCTAATCCCATCAGACCCAAGCTGACCTTCCCTATCCCAGACAAATCCCCCTGCATTCCCCCCTAAACCAAAGAATACAGATAGTCCTCGGGTTATGACCGCGATTGGGATGGGATTGCCATCGCTAAGTGATGCAGTTGCGAAGTGCGGTGTTTTCCTTTCTTAAAGAGGGGTGCGGGCCCTTGACTGACAGTGGGATGCTGGTGGTCTCACACCTTGTTCACAGCGCTTCCTGGTTATGGCTGCTCCCTCGATGAACTTCAGGTGGACGGGGGGGGGGGGGGGGGGGGGTGGGGAGCATGAATCCTCAAT